GCCTGTTCGCAGGCTAGACGTCGATATTCGACGTCATAAACACCATCAAGTTTGGTGGTTAAGACGTCGATATTCGACGTCATAAACACCATCAAGTTTCAATTAAAACAATGTGAAAAGCAATTTTTCAAAATAAACTAACAATTTACAGAGCAAATTTATCATCATTTGTCGAAAAAAAAATATAAAAAGTCGCTGTTATGTGGACTTATCTCGCAGACTTCAGCTGAAAAGCCACCCAAAAATGGCGGCGTGAGAAAGGCTAATTAGGAACAATTTTAAACTTACTATTATCAGCCATTAAAAATCGAAGTTCTCGGTTCAATAATTCAAAACGTTTCTCTAGATCTTCCTCTTTTTCTCTAAAGGCAAATGGGGATTGATGTAATGCTTTGTGTGCCATTTTTAGCATGTGCCAGTCGCGTCTCTCCTTAATAGGGAGCCAACCAATATTAATGACGCCAGCAACTTTAGCGTAAGAGCCTTTAACAAAACCAGCGCATACATTTTGGATGCGCTGTAGTCTCTTTAGTTGGTAGTCATGTACAGGACTATAAACTGTGTCGCAGTAATCTAGCTTTGATATGACAAGCATTTCGACTAATTGTTTACGTAAGTTATACGGGGCCATGATTGTTATGGTGAAGATGGTTATGGTGAAGATAGTTATGGTGATGATGGTTATGGTGATGATGGTTATGGTGATGAATGGTTATGGTGATGATGGTTATGGTAATGATGGTTATGGTGATGATGGTTATGGTGGTTATGTTATGGTGATGATGGTTATGGTGATGATGGTTATGGTGATGAATGGTTATGGTGATGATGGTTATGGTAATGATGGTTATGGTGATGATGGTTATGGTGGTTATGGTTATGGTGAAGATGGTAATGGTGATGATGGTTATGGTGATGATGGTTATGGTGATGATAGTTATGGTTATGGTTACGGTGGTTATGGTTACGACGGTTATGGTTACGACGGTTATGGTGATGATGGTTATGGTGATGATGGTTATGGTTATGATGGTTATGGTAAAGATGGTTATGGTGATGATGGTTATGGTGATGATGGTTATGGTGATGATGGTTATGGTGGTTATGGTGATGATGGTTATGGTGATGATGGTTATGGTGATGATGGTTATGGTGATGATGGTTATGGTGATGATGGTTATTGTGAAGATGGTTATTGTGATGATGGTTATGGTGATGATGGTTATGGTGATGATGGTTATGGTGATGATGGTTATGGTGAAGATGGTTATGGTGAAGATGGTTTTGGTGAAGATGGTTATGGTGAAGATGGTTTTGGTGAAGATGGTTTTGGTGAAGATGGTTATGGTGAAGATGGTTATGGTGAAGATGGTTATGGTGAAGATGGTTTTGGTGAAGATGGTTTTGGTGAAGATGGTTTTATGGTGAAGATGGTTTTATGGTGAAGATGGTAATGGTGTGATGGTGGCAGAAGTGCTGATGGAAACGCTGGTAGTTGTGATGAACATAATGTGGGTAGTGGTGATAACGGTGGTCATCGTGGTGATAATGGTTGATGTAATGGTGGTGGTGATGATGGTGATGACACAGTAATGGTGGTAATTATGATAGTGATCCTGTTTGTTGTTGGTTAATGATGACCGTGGTGATACTGGTGATGGCAGTGGTGATAATTGTATGTATATGCTTTATGTATTTGCTTTATGTATTACTTACAGTATACTCAATTCAGTTTGTCTTCGAACAATTTCATTTCTTTTGTTAACAAGCAAGAACCATTCTTGGAATAATCTTTGTTCTTCATCTTTACAATCTGAAGAAAGAAATAACTAAATAAAAATACACTTCTAGCTTAAGGTGGTATGATATAGTTTTTTTAAAATAGAATATTCACGATTTAATAGATCTGATTTTTTTAGAATCACACAGTATTGCCTGTTGAAAAACAAAAAGTATCTTACTGATGTAAATATGTTTTTCATTTTGTTTTTCAACAAGCAGGGCTTGAAACAACAGCCGATCACCGAAATACCAGATTTATTTCTCGTGTTGAACATGATATCTCACTCGTTGAGGTATCATGTTCAACACGAGAAATAAATCTGGTATTTCCGCGCACATGGGTATTATTCTCTATATAATCTATATAAACAAGGTCGGCCAGAGGGGGGCAGGGGCAAAATACCCGGGGCCCGGAGTGCTCAGAGGGGCCCGGAAATATCTGTAAAACGTTCGTATTGTTTATCATCGCTTTATGTTTGTCCTAAATGAAATACGCCTACTTGCACACTATCCGCTGATCGTCGTCATCGATCGTAAAACGTACCAAATGTGAAATAAACGATTTTTCGATCGTTTTCTCAGCAAGAACAGTTAGCTGAACATCGTTCACATTGCGTTTTATCAGTTATGCGCCGATTTCGTGCAAGTAATTCGCTGGTAATTCTCTCGTTAATCGCGAATAAAAATAGCCAGCGAGAGAGTCGAGAGGGACAGGGGGCCTGTGTTCACCATTCGTCATTTTGCCCCGGGGTCCGTGGTTGGCTCTCGTCGGCCTTTTTAATATAAATAGTCTATGCCAGCGCAGGACAGTGCCAATAATAGAATAGGCATACAACTACGTGGACTACGTGAGAAAAAAACAAGGAGAATTTACCTGCAGTATTCATTGCTTCTCTCAGTTCTTTTTCAAGTTTAACTGCAACGCGATCTAATGCTACACGATCTTCTTCTAACACTGCTATCTCATGTTCAACATACTGAGATGTATCCTGGAAGCCCTAAAGATTTGGAAAAACGAATTAATATCAAAGTTTACTAGTAGCCCAGTAGTACGTTATTAGTCGTGATGACATGTTATAAGTTGAAATGACAAATTATAAGTTAGTCTGTAACAGTGGTCTATAATGGATAAAAATACAAGCAAACCTCTTCATCTTCCCCATTATCATATAATTCCTCATCGGTTTTATTTTCACTCTCAGATGCATCACCAACCTAAGGAAGATTGAACAACATACATGTGTCATCTGTCACATTCTGCTGAACATTCTCTGGTTTCGGCGTTAAGCGACATTTGGGATGCAGTCTTCTAATGACTCGACTAATGTTTTTGTCATTACCGTCAACCGGAGAATTAGAACACAGGAATTAGAACACAGGAATTAGAACACATTTTGTCGGCAAAATAATGGATTTATCAGCAAAAATATATAAAAAGTAATAGTTATAGCAAAAATTTTGATAAATTTACGAAAACACTACCTAAAAATTTAACAAATTACGGTGTATTAACCCGAAAATTAGTGAAAAATGGTATGTCCGAAATTTTTTTTAATCCCCCCCCCCCCCAATATTTCTTGGGAAAAGATATATCAATTGGAGACTGTAATGTTGCCGGCAAATGCCTAAATGGGATACTACACTCCCTGCTTTAGCCTCTTCGTGACGGCTCTATTACAACCACTCACATTATCCAGTATATCATTGACGTCTTCTTCGGATGAGTGAGCATGATCCGATAGTGACTCTAACAATCAAAGACACAACAATGATAATCAGACGTTTTGCTCCATCCCCCGAATAAACGCCGCCCTAAATAAGCGCTGCTTCCGAAACACTGAAATTTACACTGCAAAATATGAAACACTTCCATACTGTGGAAATACAATAAAAATTATTTGGAAAAAACATTAGAAATTCAATTTCCAAAAGTTTTGCCCACTTCCAGAGTATGTAAATTTTCCAGAATAATCGTGGAAATTTTCGAGATTAAATACGGCAATATACATAACAACTGTACCTTGACTGCTTGACAGCTGACCAGAACATCTGTTCGCACTATTGTCAATGTGTGATTCACTGAATGTACGAGCTTTCACGCTGTATTTTTTTAAATCAATCTTTGTATCTCGACCTGAACAATAACAACACAAAGTCTCGTTTGTTCAAATAACTCGAATGCATGGGAATTACCTAGACTTGCTTTATACAGCTCGACTCGCACACTCGTTTTTACTCACATCCAAAATTCTGTGTCCAAAATATGCGAGTCGACTTGGACAACCTAGCTTGCTCGCAGCCGGAAATTCAGAAGGGGGAAAATGTTGGTTATCTTCTCATGTCACGCAATCACGAAACCTAATCCTATCCCTAACAATCATCTTTCGTAACTGCGGGACATGGAAATGTAACAAAAAATTTCCTCTTCTAAATTCCAGGCTGCAAGCAGGCTATATAGCAATTACCGAGATCATCTTTATGCATGACATAGGTGACAGAGAGGTTAAATATGTGCCGTTTATGAGTTCATCTCTGTGACCGGGGATTGACTCCTGCAATATACAGTGGTCTGCTAATAATTTCACCTCAGTTACACGTGAGAAGAGTGGCTTTGGTTTGACCAACTTCTCAGCTTACTCGGAATTTTTCCTCTACTAAAACTTGCTGTACCTCCTACGAAAATAGTTTGAATCTGATCGCGTTATCCAGCATAAATAAAGTTTAGTTTGGTTTACGTTTCCTCCTGCAGTAATACTAACTGAATAATGGGTGGACCTCACTGGACCTCTAGGGAGAACAGTTTAGAAATGATAGAGCTATCCAGTATACACAAAGCCAGTTTACGTCAATTCTTACAATTATACACCAAACATACCAACAGTCGAAGGCACCGGCTTCACAACAGCCTGAGGGATTGATTCTTTCTTTTTGAATGTCAATTTAAATGGATTTTGCTGTAAAGACGAGTTGGCTTCAGTTCCATCCTCTCCCTTCTCATCCCCAGTCTTTTGAGGTTCAACTAGCGGCTCGGACCCAGTCTCTAGCGGCTTGGACCCAATCTCTTGCGACTCAGACCCAATCTCTTGCGGTTCATCTCGCGGTTCGGACTCAGTCTCCTCAGTATAAGTGTATACGCGCGGTGGTTTCGGCGGGCTCGTCATAGCAGCGGTTTCCTTGCTCACGTCATCGGCAGTCTCAGGGGGGGTCGGATTTTTGTTCGGTTTTTCCCTGGCTTCCCTTATTGCTTGCTGCACAAGTTCACTTCGCTCGCTTCGTTTCTCAACTCCTGGCTAAAAAAGAAAGGATATTTCAAACATGGGCGTCCAGGAGGCGGCCACTGGATCACAATCCAAACGTTTGCGCTAAATGAACTTACCACACCCTCTTGTTTTGGATTAATTCTTTTAATGCGAGAAGACTCCAAAGTTTTTCGAGTTTTTTCTGTGATTTTCTTTTGGTATTCAATCTCGTCCTTAAAAAACGCAGATCAGTTTAGTTTGTAGCAAACTACCAGTGTTATTAATCTAAAAACTTACTTAGTCTAGTATAGGTGAGTCGTCACAGTGAACTCAAGGACTTAAAGTGCACTTAAACTCAATTCGTTTTATCATTTCATTCTTAAGAACTTCTGAAATGATATAATAACTTATTTTGAAGATTTTCCTTTGCTCACTTTGTTTCTCAGATATTCCAGTTTGTTTGGTATGAAAATATCCGGAATTTACGTCACAAATGCATAATGACTTAAGTAAAAGCTTGTTTATCGCCAGAAAGACTACAGTATCAAACAGAGAAGAACAATACTCAACAGGCAATATCGCTATATAACAAAACACATAATATATATTCCCTTAGGAGCTCACAAATTATTTCAATGATTTCTGTGTGTGTTGGTGTTATGTAGTGAGGTGAATACGATGTTTGTGATGTTACATCCACACTGGGCAAGCTTATCACAATATTCTGCTTTGTGACGTTTACTAAAGTCCGCCAATAACACTATACCTACCTTCAATTTAGACGCCAGGCTGCCTTGTCTAGTTACACTTGGAGGTTCTGGTGCCTTGTACTTCTTGGACGTTGGTAACCGTGGGAGACTGGCGTTTGCTGGTACAGGAATTCGAGAAGACACGGCATTGTCTTGGGCCTCTGAAACATAAGGACACATACATGGTTAGATCTAAATTGGTATATAATCCTTTGCTCGAAATTCTCATCTGCAAAAACCTTTCAACTGAAAGGTTAACGACCTTTCGTGCGAAGTTAAAGAGAGGTTGCATTATGCTTCGGCATGAGATATCTATCTGAACTGTCAGAGAAATTTCACGAAATATTGCTGTTGTGAAGCGAACAGAGACCCGAAACACACCATTTTTTAAAAGCAAACAAATCATGAAATTAAGATATTTACCTTGTTCACTGTTTGAGACGTTTTGAGACTTTGCAGTTCTAGCTCTGGCCTCTTTGATCATTTGTCGTGCTTGAGCTTTGATTTCCTCCTGTTTGGCTGCATCATCCTGAGGAAGATAGCAATACGTTACTGAGAGAACGTCACAATTAAGTACTTACATAATATATGAAGTGTTTTTGTGGATGGAAATAGACAATTCCCATTATAGACTATTTGTTACTCCCATTATAGACAAATGTTGTATACTTTTGTATTGCGTGCGGAAATTGCTACCATACTTGGGCCAAAAGACCCAAGTATGGTAGCAATTTCCGCACGCAATATTTTCCGAATTTTACAACATTTCGCAACCAAACTTTGCAATTTTATTCATTTTAGTGTGCTCTTTCTAGCTGGGTTGATTTACTTGCATCTCCTTGCCTAAGTTTCAAAATTAGTCTACAATGGGAATTATAATATAGCATTTGTAAATTCTGAACGCTGATTGGCTAAGAGCCGTGTTGATATAACCCAATGTCAACACGGGAAATTTTCCGCCGCTTGTAAACACGGAATTTTTTCTTATCCTTCGGGCTTTTGACATTGCTATATTATAAAAAAAATATAAAACATTTTTCCGTATTGATATATAGTTATATCAACACTCGTGGAAGTTGGGAAAACTCGAAATTGTATGAAAACACTCCGCCCTTCGGGCGTCGTGTTTCCATACAATTTCTCTTTTTCCCAATTCCACTCGTGTTGATATAACTGTATATCAACACGGAAAATGTTTTATATTTGTTAATTGTCTATTACAACAAGTGGAAATTTTATATACATTCATTAGCCCTAAACAGAAACAGTATGTCACATAATGTTAAACAACATTTTCTGAGAAACTTACAGATTTCTTCGCCTTCCATTCTTGAAAAGATGGAATCCTCCTTCGTGGCGAGGTTGGTAGACTGAGTTGCCCACGAGCAGGTGTAGGTGACGTAGGTGTTTCTTTTCTACCCTAAATGTGGGCGGAAGAAGAAATTTTAGTTGTGCAAGATTAGAGAAATAGGACCAAATGTATAAACAGTAGGATTTACCAGGTTTTCGGACTCTGGTCTCTTCAGCTTGATATGACTTTCCGTCAGCTGTTTCTCGATAGGCGGCTGAAAAACAGAAAACATAATATGATAAATGATCGGACTTCAACTGTTAACAACTTGTTACAAGGTTGATGTCTGATGATACATGCATGATATTGTTATATCATTACTGTATCAAACTTGTTGGAACAACCTTGCAACAAGTCTGATAATATCAACAAGGTTGTTACAAGTTCTTAACAGCTTGTTCTAAACTTGTTGACAACTTGGGACAAGCAGTGCGGAAACAACTTGTTGGCAGACTTGCTACAAGATGCGAGACTTTTGCGTGTGTAGAACAGTTAAGAACTGATAGGATTTAGTCTAAATGAAGTTAGTTCAGTTTTTGAAACACTAGTTTTTGATGATCTATGGTTAGATCTATCATGATCTATGGTTAGAAGTACTGTACTCACCTTTGCCGCAAGTGTTGATGGTCTCTCGCCAGGCCGTCTTGGTTCTTTACGATGCATTTGAGTAACTTGAACATTTTCTGTGGACCTCACTGGCAAAGAACTACTAGTACCTGTAATCTTTGGAAGATTTCTACTACCGCGAACTGGTGAAGTATTATTCTGTGTACTATCGTTCTTACTAGCAGCTTTAGTAGTGACACTTTTGTCCAGCCTTTTATCAGTTTTTCTTTGTAGTCTATTTGAATCAATCCTTGGGCTAGTATTACCAACTATAACCTCATCAATGTTAGTCGTTCCCAATCTTTTGTCTGCACTAATATCATTATTTCCCAGACTCTTATCCGCATCACTAGTCCCCAATCCCTTATCTATTTCACTAGTTCCCAGACCCTTATCCGTGCTACTAATTCCCAGATCTCTATCCACCCCACTTCCAGTTTTTGCAATATTATTTCCACTCAGTACTTCATCTAAGTCTGTCTCGAATGGCTCGTCAAAGTCATCATCAAATGGATTCAAGCTTTTAGGTTTACTTGTCGTAGCAGAGTTAGTATCGCCAACATCATCATCTATATAATCTGCATCAAATGGATTTAATGATTTTGCTTTTCCTACCTCCTGAGTTCTCCCATATTCTGTATTCTGAGAACTCAATTTTGCTTTCTCTGAAAACTCATTTTCCAATTTTAGTTTTTCGGCATCATCGTCGGTTTTCACATTCACCCCTTCAGCCTCTTCCTCAAGGAAAGGGTTATAGCCAGGTTTAGGAGAATATAATACAGTTTCTTGCAATGACTTATTACCTGTAACATCAAGTCGTTCTGGTTTCGTTAGGACAGCGTCAACGTCTTTGCCTTTAATTTTATGTTTATTTTCATTTTTTATACCAACACTACTCCCTAGTTTCCACGGATCTTCTTCCGTAATTTTTCGTTCTCTTGGTGATGGTTTTTGAACTTTTTTTGGAGAATTTTGTCGCTCTTGTTTTTGGGTCTCCTCCTGTACACTATGTCGGGAACCTTTATCCTTATTTTCTGGCAAATTTTCATGTTCAATTTTGTCCATTTTCTGACTTGCATTCCGACTAGAACCCACTTCCAGTTTTTCTGATGTCTTATCTGGACTATTTTCATCTTTTATAACATTATCATTCTGTTTTTTCCCTTCTGGATCAGTTGTGTCACAAGGTTTTGTTTTAACATTCCTGTCCTCCAAACTTTCTGGAGTGAATCCAATGTCAATGTCATCTTCAGTGATGGGCTCGTCTTCATCAAACGGATTGTATCCCGGATTAACTTCATATTCAATCTTACTCAAATCACCTTTTGAAGTATCCATTTTATCACCTTTTGAGGTATCCGTTATATCACCTTTTGAGGTATCCATTTTAACGCCTTTTGAGGTATCTGTTTTAACACCTTTTAAGGTATCTGTTTTAACGCCTTTTGAGGTATCTGTTTTAACATCCGTCTCACGATTTTTAACCCTCGTGAAATCGTTGTTCTCAATATCATTTATAAGTGATTCGGTGTTGAGTCTCAGGCTCCGCTCGGCCTCAACTATCGTTTCCATGGTGACGTCATCATCATCATCCTCATCGTCAGCGGTCTTCTTCTTCGTGGTGAAGTATAGTTTTATCTGATGTAAGTACGTCATTATCAGAAGTTTATCTGGCACGGAGGAGAGAACCATCTGATGAGGGTCTAACATTCTTGATATGCCCAGATACTCAAATGCTTCAAACGCCTAAACCAAGTGGATAATAAATAGTAAGGGTGGGGTGGGAGAGTCTTGTATCATATAGAAAAATCTCATGGGACCCTTCCATTTATGATGCTGTTCATAATTGTGCTCCCACATTGAGTCTACCAAACACGGCAAGTATTCTCCAGGTACTTTTGTTTCCTTCTGTAGTAACACTGGAGCAATAAAAGATGGTCCTTACAAGACCATTAGGGAGGACAGTTTAGAGCTAGTTAGTGGAAAAACTATTTAGTATAAATAGTTTAATCATCACAGATAATGGAACTTTAACTAATCATTGTCTACACTATCACACATTCTGTTCAAACAAACTTAGATTTGTCACCGGCTTGCTACATATTATGTATATATATATATATATTTTTTAATTTTTATTTTTACATACACTATAAAGCAAAAATAACCATCACTTACAAGTCTGTTGTTCTCTCTGATATTATCTGGCTTTAGACTCAAGAAATCTCTACAAAAGGAAAATAATTTACTTCTTATACTAAACGAAATTTCCAAATCTTTCCTACAGGAAACCAATTATAAAATTGTGACATTTTTTCGGTTATCTTGGCGACTGCATTGGACACGACAAATATTACAGTATTCTGGCTAGTCACGTGCACTTACATCATATCTGGATTAAAATGATGAATAATAGCACAGAATGCCAAGCCATTTCTCCACGAAGTTGTCATGTTGGTGACTTCCACATTGGTATAACCTTCAACGCATTCCTGGCACCATTCTGAGAATAAAATGGGACCTAAATCACTCACTAATCTCTTCACATATAAAGGTGAGATGACAAACTATAAACTTAGGAACATTTCAAGTAGTCTTTGTTTAGCACAACTGTATACTAATAATATGAAAAAAGTTTTATGTATGACGGAGCACACCTTTGGAATTCTATTCCTAAAGAAATTAGAGAGCGCGAATCTTTTTCTTCCTTTCGAAAGAAAATCGCTACGCACATTGATTGATAGCTAATTGAAAATATACAGGGTGTATAAAAAAAACCCTGAACCCTTTCAAATTCAAATTAGCTATAACGTATTGTGGTAATTTGACAGCTCTAATTGCCTTGAATTAATGGTTGGGTAAGAACACAAGGAATACTGTATTTCTTTTAAATTTTCTAATTTTTATTTCTTTGAGTTTTGTCCCATGAGTACAAGACCTAGTGTTCTTATCCAACCATTAATTTAAAGCAATTAGAGCTGTCAAATTACTACAATACGTTATAGCTAATTTGAATTTGAAAGGGTTCAGGTTTTTTTTACACACTGCAGATGTTTATATACCTGCATGTGAATAGATTATTACTCTTGTCAATTTTGTTAGTTCACATAATACTATATATCTAATTATATAATTTTGTAAATAGTTTTAAAATTATTTTCTGTATATACTTTTTCGCACGCCCCTCGTGGAAATCAGCTTCGGTTGACGGGGTCAGCATGTTTAAATAAAGTTTTCTGTCTATCTAAATACGTGTTTAATAAATGAATATTCATGAATATGGTGCTTTTGCCAACTTAATGCAAGTAATACAACATATTTATCTGTGAACACGTACTCAGTAAACTTTGCTCAGGAGCAGACATTTGTTCTTCCTTCTTTTTCTAAAGAATTAAAAAATAATATGCCATTGGAAAGCAATGAACAGTCAATGATTTATATAGTGTAAAGGCCTGTAAAATCAGTATTACGTTGTCCAGTTTGTAGTCCGTAATATGTCGTGTTTTAGTGTTAGATGGATGGACTTAGTATGAGACTCTAATTGAATTGAATTGAATTGAATTGAATTGAATTGAATTGAATTGAAAAAAATTGAATCGTTGTCCAATCCTTCAATCATAGCTGTATGTGTATTTTTTATATAATATGATTGTAAAGTTAAAGTGCCTATATCATGGTTTTGGAGTTTGCATATCTCGAAAGTTTAGGATATTTTAAAACACTTTGCAATATATTTTGTTATTGAAAAATTTCATCTTGATGGATTTATTAGCTCTTAAAGTTACCGGACATGACGTCAAAAGGATAATTTTGTTGCAATGATACAAAGGAAAACGACCTTTTGACGTCATGTCCGGTAACTTTAAGAGCTAATAAATCCAGCAAGATGAAATTTTTCAATAACAAAATATTTTGCAAAGTGTCTTAAAATACTCTAAACTTTCGAGATATGCAAACTCCAAAACCATGATATAGGCACTTAAATAATTTTTTTTTTAAATGAGCAGTCAAATTAAGAGTACTAAAGCAAGTTTTCCTTCACGTCTTTTGTTTGTCATAAAAGTATTTCTTGCACAGTTGTCAAGTTTTCTATAGCGGCCGTACACACGAACAAATTTTCCTTGTCCAAAGCTAGGCATAACTAGCTTTCGAACAAGGCTCCAAATGTTTTGTCATACATACAGGCAAATAAAACTTGTCCAGGAAAACTTGTTAAGAAAAACCTGCCCGTCTGCATAACTTAATACCCTACCCTCGACCTTCATAGAGAAACTTTCCCAAGGGGAGGTGCATGGCGTTTCAGGTGAGGTGCAAAAGTTCTCAGGGGAGGTGCAGCACGATCTCAGGGGAGGTACGCACCTCCCTTCAAAATCCGACCATGGGGGAGTGCCTTAATCACATCTAGTAATTAGCCATTCCGAAGATGATGAGTAGACTGGGGACGAGTGTTAAAAAGTGCCCAAATTAAGAAATGACCCAAATCACTAAAAAGACCACCATTAGTAAGTAAACAAAGTTTGAAGACGTTTACATGAATACCCTTCGAATAATAAGCTTTCGAAAATTGTGAAATTACTGATTAAAAGATTGTTTTTGGGACGCGCGTCCCCAAAAACAAAAATTACAGTATATTTCATAGTAAATATCGCGATTTTCGAAAGCTTATTATTCAAAGGGTATTCATGTAAATGTCTTCAAACTTTGCATACTTACTAATTTTGAGGTGGTCTTTTTAGTGATTTGGTTCATTTCTTAATTTGTGCACTTTTTAACATTCGTCCCCAGTCCACTCATCAACTTTGGAATGGCTAATTGTTTCAAGCATTGGTTTCAACTCACCAGTTTGGGGCTAGGCTTGTTTTCTATAATCTTAGAAAGATCAGTGTCACTCGTGCTTAATGCTTTATTCAAACCATTCTCTGTGACATGATTGGTTGCCGGCAATGACATATTCATTTTTTCATTCTTCTGAGCCTTTCCTTTGCTTTTCATGTTTTTCTTCGGTTCTTTGGGGCTCCCTGTGTTCGTGGCCATGTTAAATGTTGGCTTGCTCTTTGATTTGGCTAAAAAATGAGTGAAAAAGTGAAAACTCATCATAACATACTATTAACAAGCTTTCGTTGGTAGGGATCATAGATATCTTATATACACTAGATAGTGTATCTAATTATTCTGCAATTCAAAAATTGAAGCCGTGATTGCAGACTCAGGATATTCCCATGAAATGAGAAGACTCGTACGTTTTCTATTTTTAAACAGGGAACTTAAACATCAAGTTAAACCTACTCCAAATACATTTTTAAACTATTCAAATGATGAAAGTTATTGTTGTTTTTATAAGCGTTTATTAACGAGTGGGAACTACCAACATGGCCGCCATCTATTCAAACGGGAGTAACCGCTGGAATATTCTTCGCTTCAATTTTACTAAAAGAGATGAGCTATCTAGTGTATATAAGATATTTACACGCGTAAAAATTGAGAAAATCAACAACTTGTTCCAGGTTCATATCAACAGGCGTGAACAAGGTTGTGCAGCCCACTGTGAACAGTATTGTTAACATGTTGTTACAGCATTGTTCAACTGTAACAACTTGGAACAACATGGTTGACAACTTGTTCATAGTTGGCCGCACAACATTGTTCATGCCTGTCGATATCAACTTGCAACAACCTGCGCGTTTTTAGCCGTGTATGGTGGGGATGCAACTACCTGAAAAATATATTAATATATTTGAAATTGCTCTCAATTTCGCAAAACAACAATTAGTTTTTTATGTATATAGCTTCTTTGGGTATATATAATGTAGAATAAAAAATAATGAAAAAAATTCCTCCAACTCAAATTTTGTGAACCAGGGGGTGTCTTTTCCAACAGACTAAAAATGGCTTGCACACACGAAATTTAAAAGCTTTAATCATATTTTGAGTTAATAGATGAAACATTTGTTGGGTTTTTATGGATGACTTGCGCTAAAGACTAAATTTTAATCTAAGTAAGAACAACGAAATCTATCACCACAGCTGGAAAGAGCGTCTTGGAATTAGTAATATTACAAAGTTTGGTTGCGAAATGTTGTAAAATACGGAAAATATAGCCCTTCAAAGTTGGCTAATTTGTATACTTTTGTATTACGTGCGTGAATTGGTAACTAAATTAGTTACCAATTTCCGCACGTAATAGAAATGTATACAAATTTGCCAACTTCGCAGGGCTATATTTTCCGTATTTTACAACATCTCGCAACCAAACTTTGCAGTTTTTCCAATTTTGATAACTTCTTTCAGAAAATATCCTTTGTTATTCCCAGATTAAAAATTGTTCTAAAGCGTAAGTCGTCCATTACTGTACAAAATTTCAGACAATTTGCTTAAGTTTAAGCCCTTTAACTATTCGCGTAAACTTACATTTTTCCCTAAAAATCAGCTATTTGCATGCTTAATTAATGCCTTTGCCTAATTTGCATATGTCAGCAATATGTAAATTAAGTAAAGGCATTAATTAAGCATGCGAAAGGCTGATTTTTTTAGAAAAAAATGAATAGTTAAAGGGGCTTAAACTAAAGCAAATTGTCTGCGATTTTGTACAGTAATTAAAAACCCAACAAATGTTCCATCTATTAACTCAAAATATAATTAAAGCTTTTAAATTTCGTGCGCAAGCCATATCTAGTTTGTTGGAAAAGACACACCCCCCTGTTCACAAAATTTGAGTTCGAGAAATTGTTTTCATTATTCTACATTACAAGTACCCAAGGAAACTATATATATATATCAAAAACTGGATACTAATAGCTGTTTTGCAAAATTGAGAGCATATTCATATCTGATTTTCTTCTGTATTGGTGTTGTGTACTCAGGTGAATAATATGTTTGCGATGTTACTCTGAGTGCATATCCACACCGGGCGAGCTTGAAAAATATGCCCGGCCACGGTGGGATTCGAACCTACGACCTTTGGAACACTAGCCCAATGCTCTTCCAACTGAGCTACGCGGTCAGGACGGTTCGAGTAAGTGATATTTCGGAACAGCATCTAGTTCCTTCAATACCAATGTGTTCTAGTAATATGATTTTTTTCTGTGTTGGTGTTGTGTACTCAGGTGAATAATATGTTTACTCGAACCATCTTACTCGAACCGTCCTGACCGCGTAGCTCAGTTGGAAGAGCATTGGGCTAGTGTTCCAAAGGTCGTAGGTTCGAATCCCACCGTGGCCGGGCATATTTTTCAAGCTCGCCCGGTGTGGATATGCACTCAGAGTAACATCGCAAACATATATTCATATCTGTTCAGTTTTTTTTACACACCCTGTATTATACATACTCAATACAAATAATAATTTCATAGTACTGTATATGGGTCAGCAAATATAAAATCTAACCTGATCTAAGAGAAAGTCTTTTCCCAGCATTTCTTTTAAAGTTCTTGCCAGGGGAATGATCATAATCAAACTCTTTTGATCCATAAGGATCATTTAGACTAAGAAGACTACTCATGCTTATCATATCTTCATCACTGCAAAAACAGAGAAAAAAGGCTTCTTTAAATTACAACCATTACTGAACAGTTTAGAGGACATAGAGCTATCCAGTATAAATAAAGTTAGTTTTGTTTAAGCTTCCTCCTGTAGTACAATGGAGAAATAAGAGATATGACTTGTATTCCATCTCTGGGGAGCAGGACAGTTTAAAACTAATAGAAACATACAGTAGCATAAATAAACTTTGTTTAGTACAGGTTTTCTTTTTTAATTAAACTGGACTAATGAGGGACTGATCAATATCCTGGCTTAGTTCATGCTAGGTGTAATAGATAATATATTTCTCTTCCTGGCAGCAAAATCCAAAAATAAAAATTTCCTGTGTTACACACTTAAAAACGCACAAGTTGTAACCATTGAACTATAAATAAACTGGAAGGCTAACTGCTATGATGGCAGCCTATGATTTGATGAAGCCAAAATAGTTTTTCCGAGTTATGAGCAGAAATACTTGACCCCAAACGTCGGGCTATATACCAAATTGAAGCTATTGAAAATTGCTATTCGGTGTGGAAATTTCAAGACTTCAGCGAAAAGAAAAATATTTAAAAAATACAAAAACAACTGCAAAACGGCAAATTATCGGTAATTATGTTTGTAGTTTTTTCAATATTTCTCTTTTAGCTAAAGTCTTGAAATTTCTACACCAAATAGCGTTTTTCAATAGCTTCAATTTGATATATAGCCCAACGTTCAGTGTTGAGTATTTCAGCTCATAACTCAGAAAAACTAAAATGCACTGGCTTCAATTTCCCCCCCTGAGTTAGCCTTCCAGTTTATTTATAGTTCAATGGTTGTAACACGTCTGCAAACAAGCTGTCACAAGTCTGTTCACAAGCTGTCAACAAGTTGTGTTCGCACTGCTTGTTCCCAGTTTGTTGTAACAAGTTTGAAACAAGCTATTAACAACTTGTAACAAGCTTGATGGCATTATCAGCCTTGTTACAAGACTGTGCTAACAAGCTTGTTACAGCCATGATATAACAAGGATGTTACAAGGTTGTCAACACAAGGTTGTAACAATCTTGTTATATCAAGCATGTAACAGACTTGTCAGAACAACCTTGCAACAAGTCTGATAATTTCGACAAGGTTGTTACAAGTTGTCAGCAAGTTGTTCCAAACCTGTTGACAACTTGTGACAAGCAGTGCGAATACATCTTGTTGACGGCTTGTTGGCAGACTTGTTACAAGATGTGACATTTTTACGTGTGTAGTCAAATATAAAACTTGCTGCATATGTAGATTTCTGAGAATGGTGAGGTTTGCCAAAAACAGGCATACTTTATAGTCACAAACCATGGCAACAAGGTTGGCCAAAAACAGGCATATACTTTATACCCAAAAACTATGGCAATATGGTTTGCCAAAAACAGGCATACACTTTATAGTCACAAACCATGGCAATAAGGTTTGCCAAAAACAGGCATACTTTATAAGCTTGCCAAAAACAGGCATATTTTATAGCCACAAACCATGGCAACAAGGTTTGCCAAAAACAGGCATACGTACGTTATAGCCAAAAACTATGGCAACAAAGCTTGTCAAAAACAGGCATACTTTATAGCCAAAAACTATGGCAACAAAGCTTGTCAAAAACAGGCATACTTTATAGTCAAAAACCATGGCAACAAGGCTTGTCAAAAACAGGCATACTTTATAGCCACAAACCATGGCAATGTTTGCCAAAAACAGGCATACTTTATAGCCAAAAACTATGGCAACAAGGCTTGCCAAAAACAGGCATACTTTATAGCCAAAAACCATGGCAATAAGGCTTGTCAAAAACAGGCATACTTTATAGCCAAAAACCATGGCAATAAGGCTTGTCAAAAACAGGCATACTTTATAGTCACAAACCATGGATATAACTGTTATGGTGCTGCATGAACATTGTGATAAACTTAATCTCGGTGCAAGACAATCTCAACTTGCAAGACGCTTTTGTAAACAATACGTAAATTACATGGCATTCCAGTATATGATGAGAAAAATTTTGTTGCATACATACGTTGCATTCCCCTCTTTCAAGAGTACACAAGCCAGGTTAAGTTCCAGAGAAGCAGAGATGACTTTCTTTGAAGCTGGTCTGAGAGGTAGATTGAGACAAAATGTCTGAAGATCGACACTATGGTAGTCTACCATGTTGACAGAAACACTTGCTACCGGACGACGTTTCCCAGTGATTGACTCCTAAACACCATACATGAAAATAGTAAAAATATATCCCTCGAAAACCGTCAAAATTGAGGTTGGCAAAAAAAAATACCTACAGTAACTAAATCTGACCTAGGTCGTGCCGTCTCGGCATTTTTTAATTAAAATCTGTTCCACATCTTGAAGCACTAGTGATCATGCATTCATGAATCATTGATGTTGGAGTATAACTGGAACGTTACCTCCAGCCAGAAATTCAAAAGCCAAATTTTATTTTCAGACGTGCAAAATTTGATCTTCAGACAACCAAATTATATAATTACAATACCTGTCAATTTTTAAACCTTACAGTTACACCGAAGTGTGTTCAGTTAATCGAACTACAAATCAAATTCTATAATCGCTGACTTTTGACATCTATCAGTACCAAAAAATTATTACTTTGTTGAATTAAGGTCGGCAGGCAAATTTTTGCCGACCTGGGCGGTTAATAGGTCGGTTAATAGGTCGGTCCAAATGCCAACCTCGTTTTCAAGGGCTGAAAATACAATTCACAACAGTGCTCTGCCCTTGACAAAAATACAGTTCAAAATATTCATCTCCCCTTGACAAGTAAAATCATCTGAGCTGTTAGACAAAGTAAGTAATAAAGTATAGGGTACATATTAGGGTGCAATATGGAATGGTTTACTAGTTATATTAACTAATACGAAAGTTCTATATTTTATAGTCACTGCAGCAGGGTGCAGATATTTGGGGCAGGGATGTTACAATCTACATCACCATGTAAGACCATAAAAAGTTTCACAATTTTGTATAAATTTTGGTGACTCCTGACAGACACAACTTGAGAGGGATAAGGGCAGTCAGGTTAGAATGAGTGTGCCCTCACACCTTTACTTATGTCAACATGGCAATAGTGTATTAATTAAGTCATTAAATTGCAGTGTGCTCTTATGTGCCCTAATTTATTTTATGCTTTACTCTGTCTAACTCCAGACAACTTTACATCAAAGAGAGAGCACTGGTGTTCAATGGGTTAACTGCCAATGAAGGTGGAACCTGCTACACAGTTTGGTCACCAAAATGAGGGGCATAAAACAATCCTTGTAATGGCACAAATTATTTACTTACATCTTCAATAACAAACGTCCAAAGTTTGTCTTCAAAAGGACTTCCCTCCCTCGCATCCTTGTACAGAGTGACACTGATCTCCACTTCTTCAGGATCAGTCCAGACGATCATTCCACGGAATGGGTTTGCGATACTTGGCTGCCATGTTTCTGGCTAAAGTTCAAGTGAAAAGATTACAGAAATGGAAACAACATCATTTTCTTTCAACGTGAATATTATTTTTGTGTATACTATAAATACCTTGACAGCTTTCCTTCGATTTCTTCTGGTCCAGACAACACTTAGTTTATTTGGTTGCCTTATAACAAAAATCACAAAAAGACAAATATATGACTTGCATGGCAAGTGCCACATTCCCATTCTTGGGGTAAGTGCCACCATCCCATTCCTGGTGTATGATAAACCAACCACACCCATTTTCTATTGGTCTTGGTCGGTTTTGGTTTCGGACTAAAGACCAGGTTCTTAAGGCTGGGCAGAAAATGTAAGACCCGGTATGGGTCGTACATTTGAATGTAAGACCTGTACCAAGTCTTACATTCAAATGTAAGAATTCAAGACCTGGCGCATAAGTCTTGAATTTGGAACTTGAATTTGCAACAAAACTCAAGCACCATATCTTCTTTTCAACTAGAAAATGCTGCACGTCTCTGAGTCAAGAAAGAGACAACAGCCATGCACTTCAGGGCCCGTCAAACTCTACCATTAGGTAATGAGGACTAGTTGGATCAACTGTCAAACTTGCCTGTGCAGGGAATTTATACAGTAATATCTGCTCCTTCGCTTGCGGGACATGAAATTATATACTGTACATGCTTAACCACATTAAAAGCATATGTAATGCGCATGTTACACCTTATTTCGTCCCACAACAGGAACCTTTCAAGGACAATAGAAAATGGGTATGATAGGTATATAAACAACATAAAAATCTCATGGTCGGTCTTTAATTGAAATTCAAGACCTCCCATTCAGTTTTTATCCTATATTTATCCAATGACCTGCTGTCATTTAGGAATGACCCAAAGTCTTTAATTTATTTCCTGACTTTGGGAAAACCATTATGACAAATTGTCTAATTGCAACATCATATGCAGTATTGCACATAATTGCAATAATGGTTTTATAACAATTAAAAATCTACAGATAACATCAAAATTCCTATAACTTATATTCTTATCAATGCCTAATAATAGATAGGCCATTTTAAAACAGTCATTTTCAGCAGACAAAATATTTACATTATATCCCAATAAACGGATTAAATTTCACAACAAGCCGTTATTCAAGACAATGTGTACAAATTCACACCTAATCTTCATAAAATATTAAATATTTACGTTTTGAATTGCTTGTCAACTTATTAATTTGTTGTATCACACTGCAAAAATTCACTCAACGCCTAAATTAAAACTGAAGAGTAGATTTTGAAAACGGAAAGGATCGGCAATAACATCCGCATGCTTTAATTATTACACATTTCGGTTTGGTTTTCATTTTGTTAAAAAATCTTGTGCAATATACAAGTGCAGGTATTCTTGTTCCATTTGCGTGTTTCAAACATGGATCAAACACTTCTTATGTCCTTAAAACCTCTTGTATATGACAGCTTTATAGCTTGTCTCAAGCTAAGAAAGCATAAAATAAGGGTAAAAATGTGATATTGATTTGCATTTAAAGACTTTAAAATTTTAATAATACGAATGAATGGCAAAATAAATATTCAGACAGAATACTGGTAGAATACGTTTCACAGAACAAGAAAATGTTTTAATACTGTAATATTAATACCAATCTGTCATTGATAGCTAGCTAGGGGGTCGCAAAATACCATACAATCCTTAGAAAAATACGTTATTATAGTCCGAAGGGGTTCTTTTATATCAATACATGTAATAAAATATTCAGTGCCAAAACAGGCCAAAGCACGCTATAACGTGTAGCAGATTGTGGACTATAATACAGTATTATTATAACTATTATTTAACCTTTCCCGTTATATTAAAGACAAACAAAAACATAACAATAAAGCCATATCTTCTAAGGTATTGTATGTCAACAATTAACTTCCCAAAAGGCTATAACCCGTAACAGAACTGTCAGAAATATAGTTATACACAGAACTGAGCCAAAATGCCTACCACTTTCCATCCCTTGAACACTCAAGCGTCAGCGTCTGATACGAGGCGATAAACTGAAATTTCGACGCTCGTTTTCCAACGCGTTGAATTCGCTTCCAAACGGAGCTCATACTGTAAATATCTGGCCGTTTATAGCCGAGTTTTAGCCAAATTCGAAGTACATTTTAAACCACGTTGCGGAACTTTTATAATTCGATGAGAATTTCATAAATGAATCATGTTTTTGTGGCTGGCCGTGTCATCAGGGAGATTGGAACCAGATAATTAGTCGCTATGGTAATATGACGTTCAATGTAGATGTTCATGGCCAAATTTGTATAAATCGTTCATCATTGATGATACATTGATGATTGATTGAAAATTATTCATTATCGACGCATTTGTATTAATTCTATGATTATTATATTTTAGTATAATTACATAGGTGATTATTGAAAATTCTCCACGCTGATTGGTTCATAGAGATTATAAATAACACTAGAGGAGGCATTGTAATCTTAATTCAGTAAAAAAAAGGGACGCGACTATTGGGGGGCAAATTCAAATCCCGGATGTGTATTCGTGTTCTCATTGGTGACGAGTTTCAAATCAGCCAATGAGAGCACGATTTTATATCCGGGACTTGAATTTGCCCCCCAATAGCTGCGTTCCCAATTTTTAACCTCGATGCCTCCTCTAGTGTTATTTATAATCTCTATGGATTGGTTGCCGTTGAGGTGATTATTACGCGATAATCACCTAAGCGATTTTCAAAATGGCGGCCGAAGCCGTTTTGTCAATTAAATGACGAAGAAATGTCTATTTTTTATTTTTTTCTAAATAATCACCTATGAAATTATACTAAAACAATTATTCACCTCAGGCTCGGTGATTATCGTGAATAAAAACCTCGACTTCGTCTCGGCTTTTATTCACCGACAATCACCTCGCCTTCGGCGAATAATTGTTAATTAAAGTAAATTACTTTGTTGGCTTTCACACGTTTTCTCACAGCAATATTCAAGGCTTTGTACGAATTGTACCCGAGTAGCGTAACCAGCCCGACGATTTTTTCTTTTTTTTAAATTTATTTTCCCATGTGGGCTAGAGACCAACTAGAAATCTTCATAGACTTTTTATTTTAGGTCAGTTTATATTTAGTCCCGCTATGCAAATATTTTCGTGTTCATTGACTATGAACACAATCAATTTCTAAAGAAATGAATAATGATATAATAAATTTGAATTTGCATAGCAGGACTAAATATCGAGCTGCCTACGCCACTGCGTTGTACTAATCTGTATTGCCGCACTTAATTCAAAGTATTTACACTTATAAGCCTACAGTATTCGGAAGTATAAGCTTTGCTGTCTGTTCAACTTGGATGGTTATACCCTTGACTGTCTAGCCCGCATCTGTGTTCGACATCACCGTTCAATTTAGATGGTTATCCCATTCAACCGTTGACTGCATTGGCGCAGTCACGTCGATACTTGACGTCGATATTCGACGTCATAAACATTCAACTTACTGGTGTTTATGACGTCGATATTTGATGTCATAAACACCATCAAGTTTGGTGTTTATGACGTCGATATTCGACGTCATAAACACCATCAAGTTTGGTGTTTATGACGTCGATATTCGACGTCATAAACACCATCAAGTTCGGTGTTTATGACGTCAATATTCGACGTCATAAACACCACCAAGTTTGGTGTTTATGACGTCGATATTCGACGTCATAAACACCATCAAGTTTGGTGTTTATGACGTCAATATTCGACGTCATAAACACCATCAAGTTTGCTGTTTATGACGTCGATATTCGACGTCATAAACACCATCAAGTTTGGTGTTTATGACGTCGAATATCGACGTCATAAACACCATCAAGTTTGGTGTTTATGACGTCGATATTCGACGCCATAAACACCATCAAGTTTGCTGTTTATGACGTCGATATTCGACGTCATAAACACCATCAAGTTTGGCGTTTATGACGTCGATATTCGACGTCATAAACACCATCAAGTTTGGTGTTTATCACGTCGATATTCGACGTCATAAACACCATCAAGTTTGGTGTTTATGACGTCGATATTCGACGTCATAAACACCACCAAGTTTGGTGTTTATGACGTCGATATTCGACGTCATAAACACCATCAAGTTTGGTGTTTATGACGTCGATATTCGACGTCATAAACACCATCAAGTTTGCTGTTTATGACGTCGATATTCGACGTCATAAAAACCATCAAGTTTGCTGTTTATGACGTCGAATATCGACGTCATAAACACCATCAAGTTTGGTGCTTATGACGTCGATATTCGACGTCAAAAACACAATCAAGTTTGGTGTTTATGACGTCGAATATCGACGTCATAAACACCATCAAGTTTGGTGTTTATGACGTCGAATATCGACGTCATAAACACCATCAAGTTTGGTGTTTACAACGTCGATATTCGACGTCATAAACACCATCAAGTTTGGTGTTTATAACGTCGATATTCGACGTCATAAACACCATCAGGTTTGGTGTTTATGACGTCGATATTCGACGTCATAAACACCATCAAGTTTGGTGTTTATGACGTCGATATTCGACATCATAAACACCATCAAGTTTGGTGTTTATGACGTCGATATTCGACGTCATAAACACCATCAAGTTTGGTGTTTATAACGTCGATATCGACGTCATAAACAACATCAAGTTTGGTGTTTATGACGTCGATATTCGACGCCATAAACACCATCAAGTTTGGTGTTTATGACGTCGATATTCGACGTCATAAACACCATCAAGTTTGGTGTTTATGACGTCGATATTCGACGTCATAAACACCATCAAGTTTGGTGTTTATGACGTCGATATTCGACGTCATAAACACCATCAAGTTCGGTGTTTATGACGTCGATATTCGACGTCATAAACACGAGCAAGTTTGGTG